GCCCATGTGCTCATCACACAGTCACTGTCCTCGGCCCACAAGGAGCCACGTGGCTATCACCCAGCATCTGTCCTCGGCCCACACGGAGCCCACATTATGGATATCACCCAGCATCAGAAGAAGAGGCAGGTTTCAAGGAGACCTAGTGGTACCACATTCTCGTCCCTTTCCCACTGCCCGAGACACCCACGGCGCCCCTTCCCGGCTGCCCTAGGTGCTCCAGAATGTCTTTGGTTCTGCTTCCCACACGGCCATGCCACCTAGCACCCAGGCAGCCAAGTGTCTGGGCTGACCACACTGCCAGGGGGTAGATGGCGGGTGGAATGGAGGAAGACTCAGGAGCCCCCAGAGCCCCGTGTACATCTGCACTCTCTGTCCCAGCTTCCCAGACTTTCCTAGCCTAGGGTAGTGTGTGTGTGTGTGTGTGTGTGTGTGTGTGTGTGTGTGTGTGTGTGTCCCTGTGTATGTGCCCGTGTGTGCCATTGTGTGTGTGTCCCTGTGTGTGTGTGTGTGCCCATCTGGGTATGGGTGTGTGCCCCTGTGTGTGTGCCCCTGTGTTTGTGTGTGCCTGTGTGTGTGCCCCTGTGTGTGTGTGCCCGTGTGTGTGTGTGCCCCTGTGTGTATGCGTGAGCCCCTGTGTGTGTGTGCCCATGTGTGTGTGTGCCCCTGTGTGTATGCGTGAGCGTTTGCACAGTGTCCCTGCATTTGTCCCCGGTCCCTGGCTCCCTCGCTCTCCTGCTCACACTCTTCTGGAGCGCCTAGCGGCCTTGGTGGCAGCTGGATGGGCTCCAGTCTCCCGAGGAGGAGAGCACTAACTTCGCAAACTACTTTAATGCACGTTCCTGGGGTTGCTTTCCTCTCGCTTCTCTTCGCTCCCCATCCTCTCTGTCTCTCTCACCTTCTCTGTCCCTGTAGGCACCCTAACACATGCACACGCGCACACTCACACACAGAGGGACGCATGCTATAGCTAGTCCTGAGAAGATGAAGCTGGTGCTGAGTAGAGGGGAAGGACAAGTTCTGCTCAGCCAGTCACGGGAGAAGGCCACCGCCGGGGTCCTCCACAGGCTTCGGGGGACGCCCACACCCTGTCTCCAGTGGAGATGAACACAAAGGGTGCTTTGAGGCTGGCCCGCCTGAGGGAGGAGGGGATGCTGACATTTCATGAGGATGGCCAAATGAGAAGCCACCTGGAGGCCAGGCCACAGGGCTGCTAGGGAGGGAGGGGAAGAAGGCTGGCCTGCAGCAGGTTGAGGTTTGTGAGGCCTCTTGTCTGGGGCTGTCAAGGTCAGCAGGTTTGGGTTCATTGAAGGGTCAGGATGGTTTGAATTACTGGCTCTGCTGTAACTAGGCTCTGAGGCTCATGACTGACTCCCAGCTCCTGCGCCAGGCCCCACCCTCTCCTAGCCTGTTTGGTCTCTCCACCACTGTGGGCCAGAAAATGAGGGTATCCAGACAGCTAGCTCCAAGGCCACCATGTCTCTGATGGAGGCAGGATGGGGAAGGGTGGCTCCCTGGCCTCAACAGTTTTGGAGGCTGCAGGCACCCTGGGTCTCTCAGGCCTTCATTTTCTTCATATCCATTCCCGGGGTGCCAGGCCAGCTGCTCATCTTTTTCCATTGCCCCATGGTCTGCAGAAGATGGGGGCACCCGGAAAGGCGAGCCCACAAGCAGCAGCACCCAGAGAACCCCCTGAGCCTGGCTCCTCCCTTCTTTGTCCAGAGTCTGTAAGAGGGGGGTGGGGTGGGGTGGGGTGGGGTGGGGTGGGGCAGCAGACCTGAGGCCATGGAGTTTTTGCTTGATGGCCTTGCTGGGCCAAGTGGGGAGGAAAGACTAAACCAACAAACAGGGCTGGAGGGCATTTGCCCAGGGGAAGATGCCAATGGAAGACATGGAGAGATGATGGGCTCTGTGTGAGGCTGAGAACACAGGGAGGCCTGGAGCCTGTTTGCCCTTGCCGGGATGTGTGACCTACACTCAGCGCTCAGGAGCAGAGAGGCACAGATAATCCCCTCTGCAGCACCTCGGTGCCTCTTCTCCTGGGGTAGCCAAGCTCTCCGCTTGTCTTGTGTAGAGAATGCACCAGTGTGGTAGACCTCGGAATACTTGAAGCAAGTCACTCTTGAGCCACAGCAGCATGAACTAGCCAGAAAGAAAACCTGACCATTCTGGCTTTCATCTCCAGCACACGGCCACAAATGCCTGCACCTGTCAGTCCCACACAGCCAAGGTTAAACTCGGTGCCGCCCCACGACAAACACAAGTCACCTCTGCACAGAGATGAAGGCTTCACAAAACGTCCACGCAACCCGCATTTGCTTCTGAAGAGTCACGCAGGCGCTCGGCCAATGTTATCCAGGGAGTTCAGCTGAACTATGCGATCAACTGAGATAGGAAAGAGCCCTCTGCAGGAACGGCCAACAGTTGTATTTCCTTGATACCAAGAAGGTCTAACCAGAAGGAAGAATGAGCATTCATAAGTGGGTCTCTCTCTGCAGTATCAGTGACCTTTGAACTTAACTCTTTCTTGAACTGGACTGCAGCCAGGCTTTGGGTCCCTGACTCGGATGAACGTAAACAGAGTGTTATCACTGCCGTCAACCTGTCAAGCCCTAGCATTGCCTGGACAGGGGGATGTCCTGAGTCAGCTTTGCTTTCTGGACTTCCAAGGGACCTGTTGCACTGAGGCAGAGTCTGGGACACATGCTGGCTAGTACACCTCACACGGGAAGCCACACAACCCCAGCGTAACCCACAGAAGGCTCCTTACTCCAGGCCCCGCCTTCCCTGGCTTCAGTTATCTTCAGTCTAAAAAGATTAAGTGGGAAATTCCAGAAATAAACAATTCATAGGTTTTCAGTTGTGTATCTTTCAGAGTAACCAGATAAGAGCCTGGGCTGCCTGCTTGGTCCCATCCTGTGTTCAGTGTATCCGTGAGGTACCGGTTGCCCACTCGGTAGCTGCCTCCATTATCACACTAACTCTCACAGCGCCGACCTGTCACTATAATTGTTCTATTTTGTTATTGTTGTTGTTCGTCTCTTACTGTGTCTACCCTCTACCTTAAACTCCTGTCTGTCTGTATCTGGAAAAACAAAGCACGTGTGGACAGAACTGGGCATTTAGGGCTCTCTATGATTTCAAATGTCCACCGGGGCTCTTGGAGTCACTTCCCGAGGGGTAAGACAGGACTATTGTGTTGTCTCTCCTCCTTCTCCAGTTCACTCTCACTTTTACTCTCTTCCCCCCACCCCCATGTGTATGTGTGTGTGTGTGTGTGTGTGTGTGTGTGTGTGTGTGTGCGCGCCTGTGTCTGTGTGCTCCTTCAGGCTGTATCCTCTCCCACTGAAATAGCATGTAGTCAGCAAAACTTCCCTGTGTCCTTCCCATGCAGGACAAGCTCAGATCCCTTGCTGGGCCCAGCCAGCCCCCCACACTAAGACCAAAGGCCATTAAGAGACTCAGACTCGGTTTATAGTCTCTACCTCTAAATGCCAGCCCACAGTCCTGTACAAGCCTACCTTGCTGGCAGTGCTCACCCGCACACCTGCTGCCTTAGCAAGCGATACCCAGAGATCCAGGGCCTGGACTGCCTCTCCTCTTCCCCAGGATTCCCCTGCCTGTCTAGCACTGGTTCTCTTCCCACGGTTCCTCCAAAGGACAGCTGGGAAGAGCTTGGTGACCAGGGCACGCCTGGTTTCCATTAATGAGATACACGAGTGTAAGCCAGCCATGGAGGCAGCCTACAAAAGGAGGCGATCACGGGCGGCCAGGAGCCGAGCTGCTCAGGTAATTGGTTTATCTGTCTGGAAGCAGGGGGAGCAATCTCAGCACAGACAGACTAGCCGTAAAGTCTCTTCCTTAAGGCTATTTCCTTTGTCTTTTCAATTGCTTGCACATCCATGTGAGAGAGGGAGAGAGTGTTAAAGAGAGAGGGAGAGGGAGAAATGTTAATTTGTGAATTAATGGCTTTTCTCAGCGGAATTGTAAATTCAAATGTCACCTCACACGGTGACACCACCGCTGGTCTGCTGAAGAAGCAATGATAAGATCCCCCACCTCCCTCGGTGCCCCTCCCTCCCCAAAGATAGCTGTGGAGTGGAACATGCTACTTTTAATTTGCAATAACAACACAACAGAGGTATGCAGTAATGACTGCCTCTTCTGCCCTCCTCCCCCCTTTCTGCCCCCCAGTCCAGGTGGCTCCCCCATTGCCTCTCTCCCCACCGCCTCCTGGAGCACCGAACCTTACCCTGCTGCCCCCACCCACCCCAGCCAGTGCCTGATCACATGGGGGGTGCCTTTGGAATTGGCGATGCTGCAACCCTCTCTTCTCCTTCAATAATCAGGGAATTAATGACCCTGAAGTTAAAGTGAGGCTGATACCGAGGCCCTGCCCAGCGCTGGGAAAAAGCCTTCATTGTTTTCAAGCAGGAGGCGGGCAGCAGTGAGGGAGATTCATGGATGGAGATTGAATATGCAATTTTCTTTCACCTTGCCAAGAGCTGCCCCTGGGCTGTGCCTGGCCTAAATTTTTCCTTTTACCATCTCTGCCTTATCCGGCCCTCCCACCTCCCTTCCATTCTTTCCAGAAAATTACCTTCAAAATTGATTTCCACTTTTACAAACAAATATAATGGGAACACAGGAAAAAACTTGGGCCGTGATGAATTAGGGCTGTCAGGTGCTTCCAGGTCTCCTTTGCTTTTGTTTTACTACCCGATCTACTCTTTGTTTTTCCAAGGGCTAGAAAAACTGCCCCCTTCCACCGAGCGGCTGACCCTCTGGGCCACCAGGCCTCAGCCCCAAACCTCCGAGGTGTCCCATGGCGGAAGTGATCAAGGCCCAGAGACTGCTAACTTCCAGGGCTCTCAGTGAAAGCATGTGCCTCTGGCTCCAGCTGGCTATCTGCCCTTCAGCCCCGTTCTCTGCCATCACTGGCCACCGCCCCCGAGCTGTTCCCCTCGACCCCCACACCGTGTTCCCTCTGGCCCTCATACCTCTTAAAGTCCAGACCAGATGCAAACCTCCACCTCCTCTAATGTGGGCAGGACCAGTGTATACCTCGACTAGAGCAAATAAAAGACAGACAGACACTGAGAGATCCCGAAGGACAGGCAGGTAGATTGGGGGGCCCGATCCCCAAACCGGGAGACCAGGCTCCTCTTCAAAGAGATACAAAAGTTCTGAGCTGCAAATCACACACGGTCCAAATGGGAAGGTCTAGTCCTCTGCCTCAGTCCTCCTAGTCCCAGGGCCCAGCCACTCCTAAGGGTGGTCTTGGGACAGCCCACTGACTGGCCAACAGGTGTAGGTTGATAGCAGTGGGTTCTTGTTTGCAGGCCCGTGCTCTGGACTGTGAACACTCAACATGTCTCTGTCTGGCCTAGGACACTCCCTGGTTACTGGCGCCAGCATGCACATAGTCATACAGTACTCTCTCCAAGCACGCACATGACATAAAAAATGGCATGCCTTCTTAACATGTGAAATTTCCCACCCCCTTACTTGCAAAGATCTCAGAGCAGTATTACACACACATGTCCTTGCATAAACCGTAGAAAAATTATATTTGGGTTCAGAAAACAAGCATATATTCGCCAAGGTAAATAAACAAACTTTCGTGTAGGAGCAGAAATGCACACAGAAAGACAGAGGGAGTAAAAGCCCTCTTTTACTTTTACTTTTAATGCTACTTTTAATTTGCAATACCAACACAACAGAGGTATGCAGTAATGACTGCCTCTTAGAATTTTTCTATTTACATGCATAGAAAACTCTGGTTGAAGCTAAAAAGTGACAAGTAGGCCACTGGATAACCACGGAGCGACAAAGTGAGCATGCCAAGTGGGCAAAGGTGTCTCCTCTGCACAGGTGAGGCCAACTGCCCTCTTTTCCAGATTAGCTTGTCCCAGAGCTACGAGCAGCCCCGTTGGGGTCAGGGAGTCTAGGCCCAAATAGACTTCGTTCTCATATAACTTCATCTCCTTATAAAATCTTCACTTGCCAATTAGACTGTTTTTTGCCTAGATACACAGTGATCCATCCTTCAGGGAGGAAGTGGCGTAACACTGTGGACCAGCGGTTCTCAGTCTCCTGACGCTTGACCTTTTAATACAATGAAATTACTTTCATTGCTACTTTATAACTAATTTTGCTACTGTTATGAATCCCAATGTAAAGATCTGCATATTTCCAAAAGTCTCAGGTGACACCCATGAAAAGGTGGCCCAATCCCCTAGGGGTCAAGACCCACAGGTTGAGAACCACCGTTCTAGACACATACTGTTCTACAAACCTCTCCACAGACATAAGGGTTGTTACTCCCCCATTTGACAGAGGAGCGGGGTGATGAAATGACTTCCCCAAGGTCACCCAGATGAGTGGCTGTGGGACTCAAATCTAGTACTCCCAGTTAAGCCAGGGCTGAGTGGAGGCTCTGGCCCTGGCAGGCCTCCCTCATGTTCCTTCCCCCCAAAGAGGAGTTTTGAAACTTTCTCTTGCCTCAATCCAGGGCCCCTAGACACGTGCTGATCATTTCTACAGCTCAGTCTCCTTCCTGCCCCAAGTATAGCCTGAGCATCGCTCTTGGGGACTCCCAGGAGGACACTAGTGAAGGAAGTCATCTGCGTTTTCCAGCAGCAGCAGCAGCAGCATCCAAAGCAAATGGAGGCACTACAGGCAGTGACTGGACCAAGCGGCCATTTGCAGCCATGCAACCTGTCCTGCCTGCAAATGCACAACTGCACCAGCTGGGCACCACCCCACTGCACAATTTGTAGCGCCCCAATTAATGGAATGCAAAGCCATGGCCCCCTGCAAGCCCACACATCGGAGGCTGATACCAATGTGCCTCCCTCCCACAGGCCTCCCCATATGACTTCATTTGGAATTTCGGACAAGTTCTAGAACTTCTCCGTGCTTTACCACCACCGTCGGTGGACAGCAGTGCTGGCTGAAAGCAGCAGGGAGAGGGTAAAAGACTCCGGGTTTCTGTGGTTCTGTTTTTGTTTCTTTCCAGGCTGGGGGTCAAACCTAGGACCTTCTGCCAGCTGGGCAAGCACCCTACCATGTAGCCATCACCCTAGCCTCGCTTTAGGTTCCGATTATACAGAGACTGGCGCAACTCTGTTTTCCAGCCACAGAAGCCAAGGTGTGTAACATTCAGGGAATTGTGTTTCTTAGATTTCCAGAGAATCCAGCTCTAATCTACCTGCCCATAATCGTAGCTGGAGGTGAAGGTTTCAGCAGAGCACTGATGAGGATTTCTCCTCCTTGGATTAAGAGACAGCCTGTGTCTCATGTGCGTGTTCCATGCAAAATTTCTTTATCTCCACCTGGTTTTTCTGGATCCCTAGGAGTAGGGTCCAGGCTGCTTGAGTGTCAAAGTAAAGCCTGGGTTTTTGCACATTCCCACAGTCCCGGGCTTGGGGAGGAGTCTCAGTCAGCTCCCACCCCAACCCTGAGTCAAAGCCAATTGGCCTTGACTTGGTTGCCACTGATTCCACGCGGCTGTCCACATCCCAAGGGCCGGAGCCTTTACCGCTCTGTGTTTTATCAGTGTGAACACCAGTAACTAAGGCTGGGAAGGCCTTCTCTAATGCCAGTGCACTACAGTCATAGCCCTCACTAATGCCCACCACTGTGACATGGTTAGAATTAGAGAATGGGCCACATCGTGGAGTGGAAGACAGAGAGGCTTCCTAGAGGGCAGAGGGACCCCCAGCTTGCCTCAAGATAGGACGTTTCTAGGGAGATGTTCCACACCTGAGAGGTCAAAAGGAGACCAATGTAGCTGGTACATTTAGGACCATCCCAGGGGAAATGTATCTGGTCCGCCAGCCCCTCTGGGGTCTAGTCCCTGGACATTCACCCCTGCTCTCATCCTGAGGCTCTGCAGTCCCTCACATCAGTTTTCATTTTACCAAGAGTCCTGGCCCAAGAGTTGAAGGACACACCTGGATGTCTGTGCGGCCTGTACCCGAGGCGAGGCGCCTCCTGTGACAACCACAACAACGGGCTGCCCTGCCAGCTGCTTTGCTACCTTGGCCTGACTGTAGAGTTGGGCTACATCATCTTGACACATAATTATCTCCCCATTCTTAATCATCTGAGCTGCTCCTTAATGCAAACTGGGCCCTGCTGCTTGGAGGCCTCTGGAGTGGGGGAGGGGAGGAGGCCTACAGATCTCCCTGTGCGCTCTGCTCTCTCTCCCTCTCCTCCCTTTCCACCTGGGTCCCATGGGTCAAGAACAAGATGATGGCTGGGGAAAGCTGGCATCCCTCCCAGGTCCAGCTTCCAAGGAAAGGACAGCTCCATCTGGCCTGGGGTTGGAGAAGGAGGAGGAGGAGGAGGAGGAGGAGGAGGAGGAGGAGGAGGAGGAGGAGGAGGAGGAGGAGGAAGAGGAAGAGGAAGAGGAGCAGGAGGAGGAGGAAGAAGAAGAAAGAAGAAGGAGGAGGAGGAAGAGGAGGAGGAAGAGGAGGAGGAGGAGGAAGAGGAGGAGGAGGAGGAGGAAGTGGAGGAGGAGGAGGAGGAGGAGGAGGAGGAGGAGGAGGAGGAGGAGGAGGAGGAGGAGGAGGAGGAGGAGGTAAAGACAAGGCAAGAAAGCCCCTAGGGGGGGAAAATGGCAGCATTCCCGATGCTTCTGGTAGGCTGGTTAGGCCTAGCAGATGAGAGTCTGAGGCCCTCACTTTCCCTCACCTGGAGACTCCAGCTGCTTCTTGCACCGCCAACTAATGGAGTCCCCAAGCCAGGCCTGCTCCTGTCTCCTTCTGCCCAGAGACACTTAGAGCTATTCCTGCCTTCAGAGAAAAAGGCCTCCCTCTTACATACAGTCTTCGTCACTTCCTGGGACTCTGCTCAGGCTTCTTAGCACTCCCGCTGTGCCCCTTCATCACACCTGGCTAAGGCCACCCTGCCCTTGCTGCTCGTAGGCTTGATGCGAGATAGAATTTCAAGCTAACTTTGTTCTTAACACCCTCCGTCAGCCAGGGCCCTCCTCAAAGAGCAGCCCTTCCTGGAAACTGAGCTTCCTCCCTGCCTCTTTCCCCATATAAAGGCCTGGCCAGATTTCCACTATACCGTATCCATGGCCTTCTACTCTCTGGATGCAATGTTTAACATATGTCCTAGAGTATGGGCTTCCTAAGGACAAGAATCATATCCTGTTTGGCTCAGGGATCCACTATACCAAGCTCTTCTCATAGCTCACAGGCAGAGAGGGCCATTGTGTTGAACTGACTGAAAACAATGGCTGTGAGCAAGAGGAGGGGAGAGCGTTCTCTTCTTGACTTGACTGGCTAGCCCAGCCCTGGGCATCCCCACCTCCCTTCACCACCCATGAAGGCTCAGGCAGCAGAAGGCACAAAAAATGTTAGCCCCAGACCAATGAAGGGAGTCCAGAAGGGCTCCTGTGTCCTTCCGGTCCCCCTGGACACCTCATACTCTAAACAAGGCAGGTGGCTAAAGAGAAGCCCTTGGGTTTGAGGCAGACGCTACCAAGGTACTCAGGGTGCCAGAGAGCTTGGCTAAGACCTACATGTCAGAGGGCCCAGGGACAACTGGGGCTTAGGTCCTCTCCGGTAGCCTCCCCCTGCCCATCAGGGGCTGACGCCAAAACAACCACAATGAAATTTAGTGAGTGGCAAAGGCCGTGGCAGCCAAATGGGTTTGGATATTTTGGAAGAAGTAGAAATAGAGCCAGACAAGCTGTTTCCCTGTGAAACGAGGCCATTAGGGCTTCTGGAAGGAGGCCAGCACCAGGTCATCACTATCTTGCCAGGACTAGGTCTCTCCTGCACTCTATCCCTTCCGCTGGAGCCCAGGGCTCTTATGCTGTCTTCCCTCTGCCTGGGTCTGGAGAAGCCAGACGGCAGCTTAGGGAACGTCAGCTTTGTCCCTGTCTCTGTTCTTTAACCCCTCAAGAGTAGCTGGTCTAAGCCTGGGATGACCACAGAACCTACTTCTAAATATAACTTCTGAGGGAGAAGGGAGACACTGCCTGGTTCAGGTACACAGACAACAGGCATCCATTGTGACTACCTTGAGCTAATGAAAACGCTGCTTCTCCCTTTGTGTTCAAATTTGTGGCTTCTATTTTATGGAGAGTGTCTTTAGACTCCTATATACCCTGCAAAGACCACAAGTTACTACTTCCTTAGCTGAGACTGTGAGGGAATCAAAGCTGGAAGCAGGCCCACGCTATTGAAATCTGTCCATCCAGGCCTTACACCAGCAGCCAGCCAGCTGGCCACAGCGCAGCACTAGAGCCACAGCAGCTGAGAAGCGCCTTGTCCGTGCTCACGCCTATCGGTCCCTTCTCCTAATTACCCATTCCTCTCAACTACCCAAGGCACTGGCTGTGAGAGAAGGAGGGGAAGTAGGAGTAAGGATGGCGTCCACTCTCATGATGTGGACTATGGTGAGGCCCCAAGTGGTTTCAATGGGAGCAGTGTCCAGGTGTTACAGAGAAAGGACCCCAGGGTCGTCCATGTCCATGTCACCTGCTACCTTCTAACGGAGATCAAGGCCAAAGCAGGCTGGCCTTTCATCCCTGGGTCAGATGCCAGCTGTCTCCTCCACCTCTACAACCTTCCCAAGGTAAACAGCTCATGCCACACTCCTCCTGGCATCCCACAGGGACAGCTGGGGTGAGTCCCAGCAGAAGGTGAGACCATCGGGGATGAGCAGATGGTGGCCCCACCAGCAGCCACCCTCCCTCTCTCCAGGAGCCAGCAGGGCAGTGGGGGTACCTAGGCTTCACTGCTAAAGCTGATCTCCCAGTCAGCAGCTGCGAGGCCCGCAGAAACCGGAGCTCTGAGTCCAAGGACAAAGCATGCAAAGGAGGAGCCAATGCTCCTCCCTCCTCCCTACCTTCATCACGTTTCCTCTTCTCACCATTGGAGCGAGGAATCCCCAGGATCCCATTGATGGAGTAGGATCCCACTGGGTCGTTAGAGGCGCTGGAAACAGGAGGGGAGGCCGTGCTGGGAACTGGATGAGAAGAAGGAGGAAACACCGTCAGGATAGCAGCTGTGACTGAAGCCTCAGGCTGGGACAGAGAGGAACAGAGGGCAGAAGGAAGGACAAGGAGCTCATAGCCCCTTCCGCCCTCTGAGGCTTTAAGGAGGAATTACTCCCACAGACAGACAGTGTGGGCTGTTAGGCCAGCCTGAGGTAAATGGTGACCAGTCAACCCAGGCCTCCTCTGCCATCCATGGCATTTACTGATCCCTCAAGCCCCCTCCCCTCAGATGGCTGTAGTACAGGCTCAGAAACTGCCACGATTAGCTGTCTAGAAAGCAGTTTGGTGACCTTCTGGATAGCACAATTCCAATGGTGCCCTCTGGAGCTGTTCTTCTAATCCTGCCTAATCTAAAGGCTGAGCAAACCCTTCAAACAAAGTCCAGCTCCTTGCTTCTGGGTCTCCTGGGTGGAGTCTTTTCCAGCCCTGATTTAGAGTCCCTAAGAGCTGTTTCTGACATTCGGGGAGGCCCAAAGCTGGTCTCAGTGTTCCCTAGAAGCAGCTCTCTTTCCCAGTTGCTTCTGGTCTTAAAATCACTGGGGAAGTTACTGCTTGCCTCTTGGGGGACAGACTAGTGAACCCATTCTCTGTGCTATGGTGAGTCAGGTATAGCTGAGCACAACACTCCTTCCAGCGTGCTAACCCTGGCCTGGGTAAACAATGGCTCTTGGCAACCCCAGCAGGGCTGGACTAGCCATCTCTATCTCTCCTGCTGGTCAGGAGGGAAGGAGACCAAGGAGAAGTCGGTGTGCACACACAGGGCCTGGGAAGTTGCAGCAGGAGTTCTGGCAAGCCTGGGCTGTACCTCTGAAATCCCGTGGAGAACTAAGAGGGCCAGAGAGGCAAAGAGCAACAGAACACATGCGGTAGAGACAAAGAGATAAGAGGAAAGAGGCCAGAAGGAACGATGGAGAGAGACAGAGGGACAGATCCATAACCATACTCATGAGGGGAGGGAAGACGACTGGGAAGGAAGAGAGAGATGGAAAGAGGAGAGAAATTTAAAAGACTGGAGATCTAACTCCACGGAAGTGTTTTCCTACCACGAATAAGGTTATGCGTTCCATTCCCTCCTCCCTCGAAATCTTTAATTTTTTTTTAACTTTTTAAATTTATGTACACATGTATGTGTGTATGCCTGAAGACATCGGGGCAGAACCAGATCCTCTGCAACTGAAGTTACAGGTGCTGATGAGCCCTGCCCAGTGTGGGTGTTGAGTATCAGACTTGGGTCCTCTGTAAAACCAAAACTGCTGAGCCATCTCTTCAGCCCATGTCCCGCCCCAAAAGAGGCTTTTTTTTTTTTTTTTTTTTTTTTTTTAAGATGAAGTAAAAAATAGATATGAAAGAGTCTGGAACTTAAGGAAGGACACACAGGGAGATCAAATCAGATAAAACAAAAGATGATGGGGCCAAAGAAATGCCCAAAGACAAATGGCTGAGAGGCAGGAGGGAAGGACAAAAGGAGGGGGGGTACAGACTGAAGAGGCTACGTGGAAGGGAGGCACTGAACTAATATCACCAGAGAGAGCCTAGGAGGGAAAGGAGTGATTGGGGACCACGGAGGCCCTGAATCTCACTGGAGTGAACAGTGTCCAGGTCTGGACTGCGTTGTCTGGCATTTTCTAAGTGGTCCCCCTCCCCTGAGCCCTCTTACCGATGGTGTGGCCAGGGGCGGTCACTGCTGTCCCTGCCCCATCCGGCGTTGGGTGGAAAGGTTGCTGAACTTTGGTCCGAATGATCCTGTAAAGCATGGCAACACAGTCACACACCACAAGCCAAACCCAGGCTTGCCCTGCCTGGCAGAGGGTCCGTGCCCAGCACAGCTCTGTCCTCACTCCCCTGTCCCTGCCTTCCTGCCCTCACCCACTGCTGCAAGATGGGAGGTTTTCCTCCTCTTTGCTGTGCAATCCACCCAGCACAGCTCTGGGCAGAGGAGGTATGCACTCACGGTGCCCTGGGCACCAAACTGAACTGCGGCTTGAGTTTGGGCAGCGAGGGTCAGGGCACAATCAAGTGGGGGCACAGCGTCATTTCCATTTCTGAAGGGTGGCTAGTGGTCCGCCCTCCATCCTCAGTCACATATGTGTATGCCCTAGTACCAGACGCTTCTGGGTCTGAAGGCCATTTTAGCTGGCTTTCCAGCAAGGACCATATCACAGTCCTCCAGAGTCCTGGGAAAGAGCTTCCTCCCATACTAAGCAAGGAACTGAGGGCAGAAAGTAAGGGGCTGAGCCACAGGTGATCCCACAACAGCAGCTAGCCCCTTTGCCAGGCATCAGGCTGGCTTACACCTCCTTTCCTTTTCTGTGGGTCTTACTTGAGTCAGTTTCTTTACCAGACTGGTTGAGGAGCACCTTATGTACCCCCAGAAAATAAAGGAACAAATCAGACCTTCCCAGGAGGAATAAACCTACAATGCAGGAGTCCCAGAAAACCACAGAGTTCCATAACGCAGGAGCCCAAACTGGGGGACTGGGGAATGCTTTTCCCTACACCCCCAAGCCTCCCACTTTGTCCAGCTCAGTATTGTTTTTCCATACAGAAACCCAAGTTCACCTCCATCATCCAAGTAAGCTGCAAGCTGTGAGTCACTCGGCTTTAGCTTTTCTGATCATTTATAGGGACATAGGGGGGACCCCTGTCTCCCAATGCTGGAAGGTCGGGGGGCTATAGTTAAAGAATTTCAGGTAGCTCGAGGCAGTGAGGCAGCCAGTACCAGAGGAAGAGCCAACCCTTGAGGTAGGGGGTGAAGGGTTGAGGAAAGCAGAGCTGAGCAGGAAAGGACAGATGATAGTAGAAAGTATACCAGGCCATACAACAGGGCCGGTGCTGATTCTGTTACTCAGAAGCCTCACATTTCCCACTTTGTGCCTTTGTGCCTCTGTTTCGCCAACTGACGAATAAAGGGCTCACGGGGACACAGCATCTCCAAGGTCCCATTCCCCAGAAAAAAAATTAAGGTGATTCTAAGAAGATCAAGAGAATAGGGGGGCATTATGCCCAGGAGGAGGGTGGAAGATTAGTGAGGAAGCCAAGGAGGAACGCCTGACAGGGGATAATGCCTAGACGCATAGCCAGACATAGTTGAGGTGGACACAGGAGGGAGCAGAAATACAGCCAAAAGTTTGCACCTAACGGTAGAAACAGCTAGTTTCCACTCATTAAAATCTTGTATGTCAGTATTATATTTAATCTGTATGACTCATATGGACTTCTGCTAATTCTCACAACTTTTAAAATAAATGCTATCTTCATTGTGCAGACAGAAAGCCAAAGCTGACTAAGGCTAATGATTAAGGTTTCCTCAGGACCATACTGCTAGTTAGAGCAGAGTCCAAATTCATCCTCTGAAAATTGTGTCTTCTGCTACTTTGTCATCACGTAAGAATCAAGCCTCCAAGGCCTGAAGCCGTGAGCAATGCTCAAACTAGAAGGGTCATGGTCAAAGCAACTGATTCCAGGAAGCTAACAGTTAGGCATAAGGTGTAAACATCTCAAGAAAGAAAGGGAAGAATCATCAAGAGTGTAAAGGCCAAAAAAAGCAAGGAAGAATAGCCAGAATTGGTAACTAACTGGAGTCAGGCACGGCTCTAAAACACTCCCAGGTCACTGGAAGCTTGGTGGTATGTGTCGTTGTGGAACAGGGGTACAGGAAGGGGCATGGCCTAGGAAGGAAGCATGCCTTTGGCTCTGCATGTGTGAGGTGGGCCAGTCCAGGCATAAGCTGGCCCAGCAGCGAGGGGTTTATTGGTAAAGGGGCAGAGAACAACACGGAAGGCTTCAGTAGTGGCCACAGGTAGATCCAGTGTGGCACAGGGTGGCCTAACCTAAGCAAGTGGAGGGAGACATTAATCTACAGTGCCACTGGTGACATCACAAAGGGCAGAGGATTGGGGATAGAAGAGACATGTTTGGGGATCAGGATCAGGGTGGCCATTGGTGACTTTGAGGAGAAGTGTCTGAGCCAGGCAGCGGGAATAGGATCCTGGCAAAGAGGTGCAGAGAAGAGGGAGCGGGGGGGGGGGGGGTGGTAAAAAGATGACGGTAGTGTGGACGCTGACTTCCACAGCAACCTCAGGGGTAGCAAGGGTGGCTCAGGGCAGGAAAGAGCAGCACCAGAGGAAGAGAGTGAGGTTGCCAGGGAGACTGTAAATGGTGCAGAGCAGGGCAGAGTCACAGGGGGCTGGAGTGGAGGACCAGGGCAGCATTAGCTTGACCCAAGAACTTCAAGGAGCAGCCATCACAGCTTTGCCCTCCCAGCAGTCGGGAAGCAGAGGACGAGCTTTGAGCCTGGTCGGCACAGGAAAGGACCCAGAGCAGCTGAGAGCAATATGGCCTCATTATCAAGAACGTCTAGAAGGGTGCCAAGCAGTGTTCCCTACAGGACCTTCCAGGGTCTGGTAGCCCTGCAGGAGCTCTGCCTAAAGGCTGACAGGCTCTGGTTTAAGGAGTTCCAGGGCTGGGGCTGGGGGACAGAGATAACTGGACTGGCTGGTGGAGTTCCTGTCTTTATTACCAGAGCCTCTGACCCCTGAGTCACTGATACAGTTTTAGCTGAGGCAGCAAGTGATGGAAAATCGCTATGCCCTGACAGCGGCTTGGTGGTGCATGGGAGAGAAGTCGGGCCAGGTGCCTGCTATGAGTTACTAAGGCTTGTGGCGTCCATCCATGACCCCAGGCCGCAGGCACCTGCTAGGTGCCAGAGCTGATCATAGGGAATTTAAGCATCAGGGCTGTGAAAACCCAATGGATATCTATATTTCTCTTACATTCTGTGCTCACCCTGAGGTGAAAGACAGAGTGCTGCTCCCCCCCGCCAAGCGGGCTTTCCCAGCCTGGATCTCTTTCCTCCTTCACTTCAGTGAGAGCTCACCTGCTCAGTGCCTTACCCTGCCCCAGGATAAAGTGTCCCTACCCTCATGCTGTGCAGTGAAGGGAATTCAGGCTTTGCCTTTTTAAAAAAAGATTTGTTTGTTTTTATGTGGATGGGTGTCTGCCTGGCTATGTGTGTTCCTGGCACCCATGAAGGACAGAAGAGGCCATTGGATGCCCCAGAACTGGAGTTACAGACAGCTGTGGGCCACCATGTGAGTGCTAGGAAGCAAATTTGGGTTCTTTACAGGAGCAGCCAATGCTCTTAACCATCTCTCTGGCCCCTGATTTGTTCTGGTTTTGTTTGCTTGCTTTGAAATAGGGCCTCGCCTTTATAACCCAGAAATACCTCGAAGCTGACCCCCTGCCTCCTCGCCGCTGAGTGGTAGCAGTATAGGTGCGCCACCACTCCTGGCCTAGGGACAGAATTTGGGCTATGGGCTCCAGGCTCAGTTCACCTGAGTCAGAATCCCTGCTCTGTTTCGTTCTTCCCAGGATGCCCTGGGCTGTTTATTTCCTTATCTGAAAAGTGAGATGGTACCATTGTGTACTTCCCGTGGCTGTGGTGAGGACTGGTAGGATTATTCACATAAAGTGATTAGTATGATGGTTGGCATGATGCATGCCAGCTGTAATAATAATGTTCACTTGCGTTATTATCCCTGTGGGTGACCTCTAAGCCCAGCTGCTTTCAATTTAGGGGCTGAGCCAGGTACAGGCAGGAGGCCTCCCTTCTCAGTACGCCCCTACCCAATCAATGCAGGTGCTACCTGGGAGGAAATGGAGAGGATAGAGAACAGCGGGGGAGGGGGGGCAGGGGTCGCCCTCAGAAAGACTTCCGGGAAGCCAGACTGGGGAGTGGGCCAAGCTCCACCTGCAAGCACCCAGAAGGACCCACAGGGGTCTCAGGTGACGGCAGGGTGGTGGCAGGGCTTTAGAGCAGAGGATGATGAAGCCGGCAGTGGGTCTCTTCCTCTTTGGATAAACTCCCAGGAGTCCTCCACATCCTCCCACCTTGAAGATCAGGAGAGACTCAGGGGCTCTTTGGGACAGACGAAGGTCTGCCCGGGTCTGCCGGCAAGCCGGTTGAACTGGTGAAGAGATGGCTCAACCTTCCGCTGGGAATCCAGACTCCAACTTTACCCTTCTCCTTCTTCCTCCCTCTCTCTCCTCCTTCTCCCACTGTGTCCTCTGCTTTCTCCTCTGGTCTCGTCATCCCTGTCTTTCTCTCTCTTTGTCCATCTGTCCATCTCCTTGCACCCTGAAGTTCCACCATGGCTGTGTGAGTTTATTGATTCCTGGGAGCTGGGGGAAAGTGGGAGGTAGGGCTGGGGTGCAGGGCTCAGGGATGGAAATAGAAGGCTATAAATTATTTGTGACAGGAAAGCAATAGTGGCAGAGTGCTGAGCACAAGTCCTGTGTCACTATTAGATTCCTTTTAGCCTGATGACACTGTAAAAAAGGTTAAGTGTCTGCTGGAATCGTACACCTGAGGGGCCGGGTTGGCCTGGGAGCAGAACAAGCCACTGAGAGCAGGTATATCAATTCTCCAGGCCAATAATATTCCTCTCATTGATCGCCACGCAAAGTTCAAAAATCTCATTACAGCCAGGCAGACCGGGAACTTTTTACAAATCAATAGAATGATATAATGTATGTATACTTAGTACAAATGTATCTATTCATCTATCCATCCATCCACCGTCTGCCTCGGGGTTTCAAGTTAGCCTACCCATCATATTATGTTATGTTATGTATGATACTATATTGCATTAGATTATATGATAATAAATGGTGTGCAAAAACTTCCCCTCAGGTGGAAACAAGAAGCAGCCCTGTTAGCATTGCGATGACCTCAGACAGCTCAC